CCTGGGAATCGCAATTTGATCACACGGGGGAGTTTACGTCAACTCACTGGCGAATGCCAACGGATTTTAACTTTACTGCCCCTCACGACCCGCTCTCAACGAGAGACTGAGAGAGAAGGCGGGCGCGCGAGAGAGAGGGGTGCGCGCGCAGCTACAGCGAGCGAGGAGAGCGGAGGAGCGAGTGAAGGGGGAGGGGGTATAAGGCACGTTACTGACACCGATATCAGCGTCGCGTCCGTGGCTTATTCGGTAGAGCGTCGCGCTGCGGCCCGCCAAGTCCTCTTAATTTTAAAGATAGAGAGAAGACTGCGGACGCCGCCGACGGCGGTGGATGGTTTGGGGTCGCTTATGAAGTGTATTCACACTTAAAAATTGTCTGGTGTAATATTATTACATGTATCATGCATGACAAACATATACGTGCTGTCCCAGTGCATGCTGCTTAAGACTGTCCTCTTTTACACTATTGAACAAGTGCTTTGAGTATTAAAAATCACATGAAAGTGCAAGCACGTCGAAGAATTTCTCTTTTATATATATATATATATATATATATATATATATATATATATGTATATATATATATATATATATATATATGTATATATATATATATTATAATGAGGCGTTTTAGAGTGGCACTCTTTTATAAAACAGGAGAGCGGTCATGGCACGTCAAGTGGTAATGGCGGAACTAGCCTGAGTCCCCAGCCAACCAAACGTCGTCTTCTTCACCGACTGAGTCATACCCCCTGCTTTTCTGAGTAGCACGTATCTGCACACTAAGTGCAGATACATCGGCGGCAGGCAAAGACGGCGACTTGTCACTACATCGTAGAGGTGATCGGGACAAAGCGTCTGCGTCGGAATGTTTTCGGACAGATCGGTAAACGACGTGGATGTCGTACTCTTGTAGCCGAAGCCCCCAACGGGCAAGCCGGCTGGTGGGATCTTTTAACGAAGAGAGCCAACATAATGCATGATGATCTGTCACCACGCTGAATTGGTGCCCGTAAAGATATGGTCGAAACTTGCCTATGGCCCATATGATGGCTAGACACTCTTTTTCGGTGACTGAATAGTTGGCTTCTGCTTTTGTGAGTGCACGGCTGGCGTAAAAGACGACGCACTCATCAAATCCAGGTTTACACTGGGTGAGCACAGCACCGAGGCCAACTCCGCTAGCATCCGTGTGTATTTCTGTCGGGGCAAGAGGATCAAAATGTCGCAGTATAGGAGGTGACGTAAGAAGGTGGCGGAGTGTGGCAAATGCATCATCACAAGCTAACGACCAACTAGAAAGGTCGTTGTTGCCGGCAAGAAGGTCAGTCAAGGGCGATATGATGGAGGCGAAGTTGCGAATAAAACGACAAAAATATGAACATAAACCGAGGAAGCTGCGAAGTTCTTTTGAGGTCTTTGGCTTAGGAAATTCGGCAACGGGACGGAGTTTCGTCGGATCCGGAAGAATGCCATCTCTAGATACAACATGGCCCAAAATTCGGAGTTTTCGAGCGCCGAAGCAGCACTTCTTCAAGTTGAGCTGTAGACCGGCGGCGGTGAGGCAAGTAAGTACTGTCTCGAGCCGCTGAAGATGCATTGAAAAGTCGCTTGAAAATATCACGACATCGTCTAAATAGCACAGACATGTCTGCCATTTCAGGCCACGGAGGATGTTGTCGATCATGCGCTCGAAAGTGGCAGGCGCATTGCAGAGCCCGAATGGCATGACGTTCAATTCGTGTAAGCCATCAGGGGTAACAAAAGCCGTCTTGGGGCGATCAGCCTCAGCCATGGGAACCTGCCAATAACCTGAATGCAGATCTAGTGACGAGAAGAACTCCGCGCCTTGTAAGCAGTCAAGGGCATCGTCTATGCGAGGTAGCGGGTAAACAGCTTTGCGCGTGATCTTATTGAACCGGCAGTAGTCGACGCAGAATCTTATTGAGCCATCTTTTTTCTTGACTAGAACAACTGGGGAGGCCCACGGGCTGTTAGAGGGCTCAATAACACCTCGCTTCAACATGTCGTCAACTTGTTCCGCGATTATGCGATGCTCAGATGCCGACACCCGATACGGACGCTGACGTAAAGGAGCGTGAAGGCCAGTGTCGATTTCATGAGATACTGTGGAAGCACGGCCCAAAGTCAGTTGCTGGTGGTCGAAGCTGGCGCGGAAGCGCTCTAGGAGGGCGATGATGTCGGTGCGCTGCTGGGCCGTAAGGTTGGTGTCGATGCAGCGCGAAATTGCGTCGGTGAATGATGGGGAAGAGGATGACGCGCAGCAATCAACAGCGTCAATAGGTAGCTTGTCAAGTGGTCAGGAACTACACGTGCACTCGAGGGATCAATGTCATCGGCAAAGCCCAGGCACTCTCCGCACAGTAACTTGGAAGGCGAGGGAAACAGATTTGATACATAAATTGCACTTGATCCATCGTGAATATTCAGAACGACGAAAGGAATCAGGAAGCACTTGCGGCGAACAGCAGTTTCAGAAGGTGTAAAAAGAACAGTTGAGCCACTAGAGACTTCACAGGAAAGCGGAACTAGGGCGGACGAGAACGGGGGTATCGAAGTGTCAGCGGCAATGAAAACTTTTGCATGTGAAAGGGATGAGTCGAGTGAAGCAGCGTCGCATAACGGCGCGAACTCCACTTCGGCGCGAGCACAGTCGATGACGGCATGATGAGTGCAGAGAAAGTCCCAGCCTAATATAATGTCATGGGAACACTGCGGGAGCACTACAAAGTCGACGACATAAATATTGTCAGCAATAACGACACGTGCTGTGCATGCAGCAAAAGGGCAAATTCGTTGCTCGCTCGCAGTGCTCAAAACGAAGTCATGAAGAGGCATTGTGACTTTTTTTAGTCGACGGCAAAGTTTTTCAGTCATTACACACACTGCGGCGCCAGTATCGACCAATGCAAAAACAGGTATACCTTCAACGGAGACAGCAACGACGTTGGATGGCGAAAAACAAGGTCTTGTGGAGTTCGAAAGATCCGCAGTTCTTGCCCCCGGAACTGTGGCTCCTAGTTTTCCTCAGGGACAGGGCGAGGTCGACGTAGCATAGGGGAAAGAGAATGGCGTTGAGGTGAAGGCGACCGGTGTCTGTTGAACTTCCGGCGAGGTGAAAATGTGTCCATGGTGGTAGTCTCGCCATATACAGCAGGCTACGGTCGTGGGGGAAACTCATAATTGTTGGGCCTGACGTCGTCACGCAGGAAAAACTCACGCCGTCGACAAAATCGTGCCACGTGACCCGCAATTCCACAGGCGAAGCATATGGGGCGGTTGTCTTGAGTGCGCCAAGGGTTCTGAAAGCGTGGAGGTGGTGGTCGGGAGAAAGGACGGGCAGCCTGGTACATAGGCTCAGTTAGTACGACAAAGGGACGCGTGGACGTAGGCGTTCGCGACAAAGAAACGTGGCCGTTCGTGACAGGCGGACGTCGAGTTCTGTTCAGTGCTTCGGCATAGGTCAATGGAGCAGCCACAGGTGGTGCATGAGCTGTTGGTAGCGCCTCGGACACTTGCTCCTGGACTACTCGCTGTATTGATGGCGCTAAAGTAGATGGGGCACCTTCGGAGGTATAAGGCACAAGGGACAACTGGCGTGCGACCTCCTCTCGTACAAATTGCTTGATCTCGAGAAGCAAAGTGGTGTGGTCTGTAGCAGTGCCAGCCGACGTTAAAGCGGAGATTGTTGCACATGGCGCGCTGGCACGACGAGTGGTGTAACGCTGTTTCCAGAGCTCATCATAGCTCTGACAAAGTTGGATCACTTCCGCTACCGTTTGCGGGCTTTTGGCGACAAGCATCTGAAATGCGTCGTCAGTCACGCCTTTCAAGATGTGTTTGATCTTCTCGGCTTCTGTCATGGCCGAGTTGACACGCCGGCAAAGGTCGACCACGTCTTCGATATAGCTGGTGTAATTCTCACCATTCTGCTGAGCCCTGGTACGCAAGCGCTGTTCGGCCCGTAGTTTGCGAAGCGCTGGACGGCCAAACAAGTCGACCAGGTGGGGAGGTCTCTATCGTGATTACGGTACCACAGACTGGCGACGTCGGTCAAATAAAATTGGACAGTAAGCTTGTGCGCATCGTCCCACGCGTGCGTGCGTGTGTGTGTGTGTGTGTGCGTGCGTGCGTGCATGCGTGCGTGCGTGCGTTAACCCCCCCCCCCCCCCCACTCATGGAAGAGTTGGTACACCACCATCTCTGATGACCCTTGATTGGTCACAACGATTGATCACAATGAGTCAATGAAGTTCACTGAGCTTGCAAAGTCTGTTTCCTGAATGCAACCTAAATAGCAGAAATCACTGTCAGAGCTGCTGGAGAACAATTCACTTATTGTTCTTTGTGTTAACAATTTACCCTTGACAGCAAATGACAGAGCTGGTGCATGCATTTCGCGAGTTGCAGCTTTCCCATGACGTCAGATTAGTGTAGACACATCATCGCACAGCCGCCCCTCCTTAAGTGTTTTTGTAAGATAACACTATTAAAAATATATTCAATGCATTCCCAAGCACTACAGCACTGTTTTTATTGGGTTGTTGGCCCCCATGTTATTGATTAGAGAGACAAGCAAGAAATATATACATTTTGTGCCAGTACTCCTTTAAGAGACCCATGGATTATTCAGCGATCTCTCGTGTGCCGCCAGCAGCTTCATTTTTTCTGTGCAAATTGCTTGGCTGATTAAGCAAAAATAATTTTAAAAAACAGATAACTATTCGGCCACAAATGTAAGAGACACATGACATAGACACTGAAAGCTTACAAAATAAAAGTTAGATATAGTTGGCCTTTGACCTACCATTGCTTACAAGTTTATTATACAATGCCATTAAAAAATGTTTTGCTTCCTCTTAAATAAATTCTTTAACACTCTACCTATCATATGTGAGAAAAAGAAGTAAAAAGTGCATACAAGCATTGTAACATGCAAATACTTGAGATTAAACATCTGCAAAATAAAGAGCATTAACCTTGACTTCTAAGCTGGGTTCCTCCAAGACCTCCGGCTCTCCAGAAGATAGCACGTCAGCTAAATTGAGCACATGACGCACTGAGAGCTTGTCCTCACTTGAACGTTGCTCACTGTCAAAAGTCACACCTTCTTCAAATCCAGGTGGAACTGTCAGCAAGTCTACCACAATGAAAAAAGTGAAATCAACATCAACAAAGTGTAGCTAGTAATGACTCTTTTGTTCTGTATTGTCTCCTGTTCTTGAGACTTTGGAATACAATTATGGCAAAGCAAACACAACAACACACTTCCAAATCTTACACTCAATTTTTACTGCATGCCAGCATTCATTCATCATAACCCCAAAAGCACCATTTTGTCCATTAAAGGGGCCCTGCAACATCTTTTCAACATGGTCAGAAAATGCCATCGATTGATAGTCAAGGCTCCTGAGAACTAACAAACCAAACATTGTAGTGGAGCACGAGGTGTGGAATTTACAATTAATTCCCATACTGAGCTGGAAATCACTCTCTCTTCTTTTTACAAATGATGCCATATACCTAAATTACTGTACCTTACAACCTTAGTCCATGGCCGCTGCCCCATTTGAGCATACTAAGCTGCACAGTTACCACGACCACCCCAGGATGCTGCCACGTTCACACAAACTCCCGATCACACTGATAGTAAGCCACATGCTCAAAGGAAAAAAATGAAAACGAGCTGCTCAAGATGTCTGCAGATGATGGGAGGCATATTCTAACCTCCTTGTCATCCCTTTCCCTGCGTAGCTTTCAGTGCTATCACTGGTACGAAAATGAAGTGCTTAAGGCATGCAGCAAACCCCTGTAACTTCGCTCGCACTAGATCAATCTTAAAAATTTTTGTGGCAGTCGGTTAGTGAAAAATAATCTTTTCTAAAGCAGCCATTAGTTTATTACTTGGAAAAGTGTCACAGGGCACCTTTCAAAAACATTTTTACTACACATTTGTTCAGAATTTACGGCACCCTAAAAAAAAGCATAGAAATGTGCAGATACTAAAAAGTTCAAATTCCAATTTTAAAGACATTTTTGTCAAGTCTACAGAATTTTGGTTCCACGAAAGAACATTACCTGAGAACGTCGGATATGAAAGCATCAACTACATGATGTCAAGCAGAAAGAACTCCTACCTAACGAATAAAAATGTATATGTGCCTTCTATACAACAATGAGAAAAACAAGGCTAAAAAATGACTTACTAAATCGCAAGGTACCAACAGAGACCAAGCACCCCGTTATATATATTCGAACTTTTTTAAATAAAGATTTTGCACGTATCATCAAAGCTGCAGCATAGGCTCAATCAGCATTGTTTCAAGATATGTGGGACATGATTCGCACTTAAATACTTTAGAGAATGCTCTTGCAGTTCTGAAGCGCTGCCTTGGAGTGCAAAATTGTATACACAATGCCTCAAGGCAATGAGCAGCTTTTCTTTCTGCAAAAATTTTTTTCATGAAGTCTCTAAAAAGCTACGCCTTCTTGACCAAGGAGGTCAAGAAATAAGGAGCCCACTAGCTGTTTCAGTAGTGCTTCAGTGCAAAGTTGCCTTCATATTATGAGCCCTTTGTGAATGGTGAAAAACCCCACAGAGTAACTTGGAGCGTGCCAGACACCATCGAGGAAGAAGAAATGGTGGTGGCATCAAAGGCACATGGCCAGAGCAGAATTTCACCTTTAGCATTGGCAATGAATGGGCATCTCTCTCGTTTGGGGAGCCAGTCACTTCCCAACATTTTTGGCACCACAAAACCCAAAACTACCCCTCGAGAGACATTTTCCCATCAAAGCCATGGCAAACTATGATCACCTTCGGAAGTGTGGCTCAATCACATCTGGTTTCACCCGAGCCCCGACACTTAACGGACCTGCTGTAGCAACTAGATCCCAATGCCTTCCATATAGTTGACCCTTTATTGGACAGCATGACATTAAGCCCCTTTTTCCTTTCTCATTTTTGGTGCTGTAGCTCGTTAAAAGAGCTCATACTACAATGTTCAAGCGACTTAGCCGATCTATTGAGCATATGACAACATTATTTGTGCAGCCTCATGAGGTTTTGATGAGGTGGAAGCACACAGGAAGTGAAAGTGCAGTTTTGCTTTTTTCGCGTCCAAGTGTCAGTTCTTGTTTATTTTTGTGGCCTAATTTGAACCAAGACAAAGATGTCTGGTAAATAGATCTTGTATTTCTTGCACTACAGTAGCCACTCAGCAAACACTTTCAGCGGTTTTCTGTGATGTTTAAGCACGAATAGATAAATTGTACGTGTTTTATGTAAAGTGGTGCGATTCACATACTCCATGCTTAACATACATGATGATAGCATGGGAGCTGTTCAGTCTCTATCGTTTGCACAATTTTACAGAGGAGTTGTTAAGCTTTTTGCTATGCCATGTGGTGGCACCGGAAAACTATCATCATCATGAATCAGCCCCACGCTCTTTGTCCTCTCTTTCATGTCCTGCTTCACTCCCAGGACACACGAGCCAATTGGTTCTGCATGGGATGAGGTGAGCCTGATGGGCGACAGGACGACTGCAAAGAGAAATATATTGATTGATATGTGGAGTTTAACGTTCCAAAACCACCATACGATTATGAGAGATGCCGTAGTGGAGGGTTCCAGAAATTTCGATTACCCGGGGTTCTTAACGTGCACTCAAATCTGAGCACATGAGCCTACAGCATTTTCGCCTCCATCGAAAATGCAGCCGCCACAGCCTGGATTCCATCTCGTGACCTGCGGGTGAGCAGCTGAGTACCTTAGCCACTAGACCACCATGGCAGGGCAAAGAGAAATAGAAAGAGAGATTGATTGATTGATTTGTGCGGTTTAACATCCCAAAACCACCATATGATTATGAGAGACACTGCAGTGGAAAGCTCCAGAAATTTCGACCACCTGGGGTTTTTTAACGTGCACCCATATCTCAGCACACGGGCCTACAACGTTTCCGCCTCCATCGGAAATGCTACCACCGCAGCCGAGATTCAATCCCAAGACCTGCAGGTCAGCAGCCGAGTACCTTAGCCACTAGACCACCGTGGCGGGGCAGAAAAAGAGATAAAAAAGATGACAAAGAAATACAGAGAAGAGGGAAATGTAAAGAAGGAAAGACAAAAAGGATAAAAAAATAGTGAAAGTAATTGTGAGAGAAAGAGATAAAAACAAATGAACAGAAAAGGGATAAAAAAAAGAGAGCAAACATAGCTCTGTGTACTAGCATAGCAGGGAATATGGAAGGGAAGTGAGAGTGAAGAGGAGGTGAGAAGGTAAATATTGCATCGACTTCTGTAGTAGAGCATAGCAATGGGTGGCAAAGTAATTAAACCGGGAGTTTAAACTGACGACCAGCGTGACGACCGCTTCCCCAACTGCAGATCAAGCCACTAGGCCACCAGAACCGCTAATCAATGGCGTCTAAAACGACTACAAATTTACAGCAACAGCCCTACTCATTTTTACCATTACACTACAGTGACAGGCCCGCTCACCGTAGTCATTGCTTTATGATAACGGGGCTGTCGCTATAGCTGCATCACTATTATGACAGGCCCCATCCCTGTCAAGATTTCACTACGCTGACAGGCCCCCTCCCTTTAAAAGGAAGCTGAAGGAATTTTAGAATTCATTCAAAGTTCGTGTTTAGGAAGAACTGACGTTATTGCTGACGATGTCATAATTGTTTTTGAAGTTGTAGCAGCAGGAGCTTTAGAACAGGCAAAATAAAAGCTTGTCTTGCTCTAATCCTGCGAGTGCGCTGAAAGTGCGGGCGTGGAAACATATGTCATCTTCGTTTCCTCTAGCCCGGAGCAAGTGTTCGTTGTTATCTTCAACTACGGCCTTCGTGACTAACCCATGATATGCAGTTGCCGGAATTAATCAGAGAGGCCACAATTCAGCAGTGCTGCTGTTGCAGATGTCATGTCATATATCGAGAATAACGTCACCGTATTTGCTCGGCGTCTCAAGATGCCCACCGGCCACAGTCACTGTTTTTTCACCAAAAAGTGCTATTGGCGTTCACTTTTGAGAATGCTCACATCGCTTTTCTAATTCAGCAAGGATCAAACTGTTCTCACACGCTCCTAAGTCATTTTTTCAGAAAAGTGTTTCACCTTCCCTTTAACGATAGTACTGTGCTGACGGGCCCCGTCACTGCAGTCACAATTACACTATGCTGATGGGTTCCCTCACTCTAACAATAGTACTGCATTGACGGGCCTCGTCACTATTGTCACTGCCTAAAAAGAATGACATTTGCACTTGCCTAGATTCAATAAAAAAATATTGTGCAGGTTAGTTGAATAATGATAACATATTATTTTTTTATAATATGTGATATATAATATTAGAATTATATTTGAGATTATTCGAGCCGAATCACTATTTGCTTCGAATTCACTTTAAACCTTAAACCCAGGCAAAGCAACCTCAAAAGTTCCTAACTCCAGCAACACAGCAGGTCAGGTGAGAGCAACTGAACCCAGGCCAAGGAACCTCGAAGTTCCTAACTCCAGCAAAACAGCAGGTCAGGTGAAAGAGCGCCAGCAGCGCTCAGTTCAACTACCGAAGCTCCAGATAGTGACTTTGAATGGTAATCCGCATCGACGGCAGCCTTTTTAGGACCATTTCGATGGCACAGTCCACAGAAACACCGAGCTACCATGCATGGAAAAGTTTAAGTACCTCCTCATCACGTATTGAACTGACAGTGCAAAGAAGGCTATTAAAGGTATCTGCTAGGCCGAGCAAAATGACGACCATACAATCAAGACGCTCACAGATCGCGTTGGATGCCGGGATCTGCATATGAATGAGCAAGTTGATTATCTCTTCATGCTAAGCACTGGGAAAAGCTCATCAAAAGTCCCAGAACTGTATTTGCTCCTCGACAATGTCCAGTTCCACGTCAATACCTTACAGACTAATATACAACGGTATAACAATGTCCTTATGTGATGTCTGCCAAAGGATCCCACCGTTGTGTACAGGCAGAAGACCAAAGAAACCAACTGCAAATCCAGCATCGTTGAAACTCCTGAAGACAGAATGCGGCTAGTTAAGAAGATACAGTAGATTCTCAAAAAATAAAAATCTCTAACAGAACCGCTCTGTAAATAGAACAA